GAGACGCCGAGGCAACGAGATATAAATCACCAAAATACGAGCGCATGCCCCCCCGATCCATGGGGTTGCGCAAATTAAATCCTAATTGCTAGAAGCCGGGAATAAATCTCCTGGAAGTTAATAAACCGTCTTTATATAGAGTAAATAACTACTTCTCGAGCCTCGCGCCTCCCGGCGATTGACTTATTCACAGGGGAAATTACAACTTTACAAGGGCAGGTACGCGTTTCGATTTTAACGGATATTCTTGCTTAACCGAGAAACGAAAGGGGGGTTTTAATCGGAGATCCAGTTTTGCCGAACCGGATTTCTCGTTTTCAAAACAAATACCGGTTGAGGTGGGTTGCTTCCTGACCCTCGTGCGATTGTTAGGATTGCCTTAACCTGAAACGGGACAATGAGTTTTAAGGGATTCCTTTATTTGGGCCGCAAGGTCCGGTTCTCGGCCCTGAAAATGTACTCGTGTCTAGAGAAATAAAGTATAAGAAACACAGATAATAAAAGTAATTAAAGTGCTAATAAAATACGGAAGTCAATACGAAACAGTTTATCATTTTTATACTTATACGTTCCTTATGATTCGGAACCACGGCGACTATTATTCACGCGATAGGCCGTTAATCGGAACAATGGAGGGTTAACAAATGGTTTCATAATAACACTCCATGTTGAATATCGTTCACTAATATGCTTAGAAGCGCGTGCCTCGCAAAGTACTCGGACGTGTGGGCCGGACACGCGTGACATGTGTGACACGCGTCCGTGCACACGCGTATAGGAACGTACGCACATTACCCCACACGGCACGACACCAACAATTATATAATAGAAAGTGAAATAGTCGCAGCTGCCGCGTCCGCAGCTTTCCCGACGGAAAATTCGAAATCCTCCGAGACACCTTCGGCGTCTCTTGCGAAACTAGAAGCTTCCCTCCACCCAAGAACCCCGGGATCTGTAGAATTTACAGTCGTATTTTAGTAAATAATCATCTCCAATGAAACTTGCGCAAACAAATTGGCCCCGCGGCCTTAATGGAAACCCTTTACCGCGGAAGCCACGAAGAGAAACGATTAGCTTTTTCAATAAATAACAGCGATCCCTCTCGTAGATAAACGTTCGACAAGAGGCTCCCTGAGTAAATGGGAAACAATTACTCTCGAATTATTTTATTCGAGGTAACAGCGAGATTGTGTACGACTTACGCATCGAGCCGTGGTACGAATACCGTTTGTTAGTAATCACCAGTAATCCATAGTAATACCAAGGTAGAGCACTTATCAAGCGGCCCGATGCAAGATAGGTCTAATGGTTTCCGCGGCAATTACTCGAGGCGCTCGCTTACACAAGAAAAGAGTGAATGTAAATTGTGAATTGACACGAGGTTAAGAACAAGCGTGTTATTTCGCGATCCGCGCGGTTTCGAGCCCGGCAGATAAATTCCGGGACAGAATGGTAGCAATCGGTACGCGCGGCTCGAAATTTATCGCGAAACCGCGGGTTGGCTTCCCTCGTTATGGCTTGTGCAATGCGATGCGGTAAATCTTCAGGCTTCGTTTATGATACTTGAGAGTTTTATTGTGCCTAACCTATGCCGTGAATCGCGCTGATTGACTCGGGAGAGCGAAACAGCTGAGAACCGCTGGTGACGTACGCGAGCGCTTAGCCGGGCTCCGGAGACTTCGACGCCTCGACGCCCGCACAAGCGATGCTCCCCGCCACATCTCGTTCATTAACAAATAATAACTCGCCCGTACCCGCCTAATTACTCTAACGAACGGCACACGCGCACACCTTGGGCCAACGGTGAACATCTTAGACCATTTTTGACATGCCCGACACGTTTGAACGAGACATAAAAAAGCAGAAGTGTGAGAAAAAAAATAAAATGAAATCGTTTCCTGTGAACAATTCACGTCTAACAGCCATCCTCGAATCAATTAAGCATGAGGTACCCTCGACATCGTCGAAAAACGATTGTTACAAGTAAAATTAGCGCAATAATACCGTAACCTAGGACTATTTGGTATGGCGCATTCCGGCATATCTCCATCGTTAACGAGCGCAATAACTCGTTGGTACACAACTAATTACTCTTGTGCACGTTACACGAGGGTGCGTGGGTAGGCGCGTAACCCATGGCGGAGGCTTTAGTTTACTTTTGCAGGAAAGTTAGAAGAACGAATGGTAGGGGGCCCACGTGAAAGGTAATTGATTTATTTCGGGTAGCCGGAATGCGCGAATCGGGCAATTAGGTATCGAGTTAAATTGACTCGGGGAAAAAGAGTTGGTGTACGTCAAATTAGAGTAATAATACTTACCGCGTCGCTCCCCGATTCGGCGCATTCCGGGACATCTCGTTAATTAACAAGAGTAATAACTCGCTCATACGCGACTGATTACTCTTACTCGGAACTCGCAGGCGTGCGCGCGAGACGCCGTGAAAGCCGCGCACTTAAGCGCAGGCCGGTGCGCAAAATAAGAATAAACAGCCGGGAGAAAATTCACTTAAAAGTAAACCGATTTAATCCCCGCGGTTACGTTTCTTTAATCAAGCCATTAACCATTGAGTTAATCGCGCATAACGGGCCGAAGAAACGGTCGCTGGGAATAAAATTACTGAAATAATACGGCGCCGGTAATAACGTTCGGCCAGGCAGACAAGTGGCGCGGATCGACGCATCTCGTTCGTTAACAAGAGCAATAACTCACTGTTACGGAACTAATTACTCTCGTGCACGGAACACGCGGGCGCAAGAATCTTCGGGAAAGCTCCAGCAGCTCCCCGGCAAAAATACATCCATCTACGTGGAAGAAAACGCCATTGCCACTCGAACGACGCACTTTGACCGTTTCCCGAATAAACATCAATAAAAAATTCCTCGATTCCTATATGAAACCTAGAGCATACCCCAACGAACACTCGTCGTTACATACTTTATACTCAATCCTTTGGCGCGTCGATTGCTGCCAAAACCGCGAAAAGGGTCTCCAAAGAAGACGCCAAAGTTCCGTCTGCATCGCCATAGCAAACGCGTTGGCCCGTAACATCGAAAAACGGCGCAGAGTCGTTAAAAATGCCGCGTCGTTTCTCGATCTCGGCGTCCCGGCGTCGGGTATTTCCTCGATCCCGCCTCGGCCTCGATGCAGGATCAATTGAAAATTTTCCACGGTGCGTAAGGTACGTTAGCGAGTCGAGTGCTTCCCTGAGCAGGGTCGCATTAGGCGGTACGGCCCGAGGCGGTCTTCTCTCGCTGGGTGCCCATTTTTCACGACTCCTTCTTTTTTCTTCTTCTTCTTTTAATTCCATCTCCTCGTTTTCTTCTTTTAATCTCCTGGCCGCTATAGCTTCACGCACGGCCTCCCCCCCCGTCTCATCCGCCTGCCCCCCGCGCCCCGCGCGCGTCTCGGTCTCTCTCATTCGGCATTTACCTCCACCTTCGTCCCTCCCACGGCCCTGGCCCTCTCTCTCCCTCGGTCCTCCCTGGTCTCCTTCCATCCTTCGGGCGTCGCTTCTCGTCTCTCGCTCCCACGCGCCTCCGCCTCTTCTCTCTCTCTCTCCAGCCTCCGCGGTCCGGCGTCTCGGCGCGTCTCCGTCTCTCTCTCGCCGTTCTCTCCTCGAGTCTCGGGTACCTTTCGGAAGGTGCCGCGAGGGAAAGACGGACGGAGAAAGAGAGAAAGCCGGAGGAGGATCCGCGCGGCGAAAGGAAGAGAGAAAGAGAGGGAGAAGGTCCGAGACAGAAAAGTACGATAATGCCGGGTGGCCGGGGCCCGAGCTGGCCGCCTCGTCGATGACTCGATGCTCTGTTTGTATCCGCGCAGGTCGCGATCTCCCTCTCTCTCCCTCCGCCGGGGGGCCCTCTCTCGGTCCCTCTCCGGGCGCGGGCCCCGCGCGCCCCGCACCGTCTCGATCGTCGCGGGAGGCGACCCTCGTCCCTCCCCAGCGCCTGCTACCTGCGCGGCGCTCTCTCTCTCCCTCACCGACGCGCTGGCGGCCCCTCTCGCCGTCTCGGTCGCGCGGCGGCTACCTGCGCGGGCCTCGCTCCGACCGCGTCGGGCGGCGCGGGCGCGAGAGAGAGCCGGCGCGGGAGGGGCGCGGGGCCGAGGGAGAGGAAGAGGGATCGGTCTCGCCTCAGGGTCTCTCGCGTCTTTCCTCCGCGGCCGCGCTCGGCCTCCGGAGTGGGAGGCCGCGCGGGAGAGGGGGCCCGGCGCAGGTGAGCGAGACGAGGAGCGGCGCGGAGAGAGAGAGGGAGCGAGAGAGAAAGAGAGAGAGAGAAAGGGGGAGGCGGCCGGGATGCTGGGAGGCGGCCATGTTGCCTCTCCCGAGAGAAGAGAACTCCGCGGGCCGAGAGCACTCCGTGGTTCGTTTGTTGGTTGCAGCAGCGGCTAACTTTGGTCGGCGAATAGAGGCTGGGCACCCTGCGAGCTGTTGCCGGCCCCAGGAGCGACCGGCCGGCCATTCGGTCGGGCAGTGAGAGAGATCGTGCTCGTCGGAGGGAGCGCCTCCCGGTGGTGGACCGCGCGCGTCGTCCGCGGGCCCGCCGCTGCCCGCCCGCCCGGCGGGCCGCGCCGCGACGCCGGCCCGCGCCGCCAGCTCCGGCCCCGGAAGCCGGCGGGCCGCGGGGGAGGCGGAGGAGGCCGAGGAGGCTCCTGTGACAGTGCGCGGATCGCGAGCCGAGCGGACAGTGCGCGGAGTGATACGGTTTCCCGCGAGGAAGACGGCCCGAGCGGCTCCTGCCTCTCTTCGCCGCGAGCGCGCGCGTCCTGCCTCTCTCTCGCGCGGCCGCGCTCTCCCTCCCTCCCTCTCTCTCTGGCTCGCGCTCGGCCGCGCGCTCCCTCTCGCTCCCTCTCGCTCGCCGAGCCCTCTCTCCCTCTCGCTCGCGGCCGAGACCGCGCGTCCGCGTCCCTGCCGCGCCGCCGCCGCCAGGACCACCCCGGACGACCCTAACCTCCGCGCCGGGGGAGCCGCCACGTGGTGACCGCGCGCGAAGCGGAGATGTGAACCGGGACTTATGGGACCCTTGGTAGTTTGTAGTTCGGCCTCCCTCCACGAGCCTCCCCCCCGATGCACCCGCTAATACGCTCCCCTCTAATACGGTTTCTTGACAAGTGAGTATGAAGATCGTGCACGTGCGCCTCGACGCCGTCTCAAGCGGTAGGCGACCGGCTCGACGAGTTCCCCGGGACGCCGCACCGACGCACCCGGCAACGCGCTTCCGAGTCGCGTGGTCTCGCCGAGGACCCGCTCGATGCATGCTACCCGGGGACGATACGTCGAATCGGCGTCGCGCCGCGGTTTCGAATCGCCCCCAAGGAACGCTCGAGCGTTTTGCCTCTCGACGCGTTCTTTTACCGCGTTTGCCCCTATTTGTACTTTTACGATATTTCATTTTTCACACCGGACATCCGCGTTATTCGGACGCGTACCGCGACCCTCGGTTGCGACGTAACCGAACATACGTCGTTTCATTGATCCGACCGGTTGCTCCCCTGTTCGATTTTGTCAATGAACCAGCTGACTCGGTGCATAGAGCCTTGATGCGTTAACGCGGAGGACGCCGGAGAGCTCCGGTGCGCTCGACTGCGCTGCCATTCTTTCCTCGTCTATTGTCAGGGTCGAGGATCGGTTTAATGGATTCTACGACTTTAACAAGGGCCATCAATTTTCTACGGCTGATGGCGGATCACGGTGGACTCTGCGTGCGCACGGTTAAATCCCTTATTAATATTCCCACGTAATGAGATGCGTTTAATCGATCAGGGCGGGATTTAGAACGGTCTCTCCTCTTTAAAATGAAGATTCGTTCTTATAGACGATGGGTATCATTCTTTTTTTTGTTTTTTCTTTTCTTTCCTTCGAAATTAAATCCTGACTGGGTTGAGCATAAGAGCGTTTCCCTGCAGAGGACGACCCTCGTATCGGCGTTAAGGATCAGGATTTCCATTTCCTGCGGGCATCGCGGATAAAACGGGGAAGGTGGACGATTGCCAGGATATATACGCGCGGTTTAACTCCCTCGACGAGACGCCATAGCTTCTCGGAGCCTGCAATGGTGGGCGGATCCTTCGGGGCGATGTCGATGTCACATCGGGAGGACGAGGGTCCGGGGTCCTTATGACGTCCCGGAGTCACGGAATGTTCCCAGAGTACCCGCGGAATATCTGGGATCGATCCCCCTGCTTAGAAGCGTTGACTGATCCGGATTAAATTCCTCCCAGGATCAGGCTCACCGCGTGCTGGCCCGAGATAAACGTTTTTATTCACTGTAATTCCATCCAACTCAGTCAGGACTTAGTGCCGAGGACGTTTTAGACCGCAGTTTGCGCGGGGAAATGGTAGTGCACTTTGGACGAGTCCTGGGCGTTATCAAGGAACTTGAATGCTCTGATAAGACGTCTCATGACGCGGAGTACGAGCTATTTATGCATCCGAGTAAAGTTGACGATTTTTCACGGGGTAGATGTGCTTAGTGATTTGTTCAACGAGATGCCGTGATATTTCAGAGTCCTTAAGAACATCCGTTGTATCTCCGAAATGCGACTGGAGTTCATTTAACGAAATAATTTCGGCGAGGGATTTTAATACCTTTCGACGAGTTTTCTTTGAAACTTAAAATGTTTTCGGATTCCCTCAGTTTTGTAATAAAATCTAAACTAGCTTATTGTCGTTGGATAAATAATGGTACTTTCACAAACCTGCGGTGATTCGGAGCTAGGCATGATGGCTAACTGATACCGACATCGACTGTACGCGGTTGGATCGCAACAAAGGAAGTTGAAGTATTTTCGAGAGACATTCCACGGCATAGGAACAAAGAGATCCCCGAAAAAGGTGATCCTCCCAGGATCTTTGAAACGCATCTAAGAAACCCTTTGGTACCTGACTCTCTACCGGCCCGTAACCAGGAACGGTTAGGGGGTCCAAGACCCATCAGCAGTAGCACCTAACAGATCCTGGTGATAAATCGATTCTTTTCTTCGAAACTTTCCTTCACTTTTCTAGAACGGAAAATTCGGTTTTCCGATCGGAATCCTTCCTCTTCTTAAGACAGCCACCGTGCAATGGGGATCAGTTTTTGAGTCCGTGGTTCCCCTCCCTGAACACGTGGTTTAGGACATCGTTTCCATCGTCGAGGAGGTCTTCCTGGACGACCTCTGCTGGCTTCTCCGCACGGTTAGCACATACGTGTTCGATGGTTGCTCTGGTAGTTAGCACACTCGTCTTTAACACTCCGAGCACTCCACTTATCCTGGGGTCCAACTCGTCGGGTTCGCCAGCGCGAATCTGGAGGCTGGAGCGCGACTACTCCCAGCTGATGTCTGCTCGCAGCAGCGTCTACGAAGACGCTGCGAGGGCGTAGGTACTTGGAATACAAACAGACTCGGAGGTGGGTCCGATCCGTTGGCCGGGGTTCCTTTGAGAATCAGGTTAGACCGGCCGAACCTGCTTCTCTCTCTTGCGTGGCCGCTCTTTGGTTACGGGCTTTACTCGTTTCTACCACCGCCAACACCGGGTTCCAAACCGCTCCTCTTCTTCCGCTAACGTAGCAGCCACCAGGAACCGGGAGATGACCTTCCTGCTCCTTTCCTTCCTGCTCGTCCCTCGTCGCACCTGGCCCCCAACTCCCACGATACCGGAACCCTGAAGGGAACATAACCATCGCGACCGAGGTACTTCTTAAGATTTAAGTTGCCCAAAATGGACGGTCAGCTAAACTCTTCGGACAACTGAACGCGTTCCCACACATATAGCGGTCTTTCCGATTAGCGGCTTTCGCGAAGCTAGAGTACCCGTCCCGGAATGAAGGCAGTGTTTGTTTTCGGTTTAGACAGAGGGCACTGGTCGTTGATCCAATTCTATGTTTACTTGGTGATTAGTCGTGGAAAGCGATTCGAATGTTCTCCGGTCGATTGTGTCTGCCTGCTGGGAATTAACTGACCTTAACCCTTTTCCGCCATTCTAAAAGTGGGACGATCTTCTTCGAGACGTCAGCGAGACGCTTTGAAGTGCAGCTGGTCTCGACCTTCCTGGTTATCTTGTAATATCCCGGTTTTCCTTTCTCCGAGACCACTTGTGGTCAGCTAGACCGGAATCTTTCTTAACTTATAACTGTGGCACGGTGTCGGCACGAATCCCGCGTTGCAACAAGTGCAGCCCGGAGCTGCTATCCGCTCGCAACAACGCGGACAAGGATGCTGCGAGAGCGTAGACACTTGGAACACAAACGGACCCTGAAGTGGGTTCGATCCGACGGTCGGGATTCCTTTGCGAATCAGGTTATACCGGCCGAACCTGCTTCTCCTCTCTTCCGGCAACGTAGGCTTCTAGAGTTCGGCCAATCATCTCGTCCTTCATTTTTCTTCGACTTCTGCTCCATCGAGCGGTTCGTTGGCCTTTTTATTCTAACAAAATGGATCCCCGAACCGATCCAGTTCTCCTTCCGTCAACAGGGTCTTCCGGAATCGGACTCCAGTTTCGCCCCCGTTCATCCCGGTTATCCGACGATCCGCTGGTGTCGTTTATTTCTCTAAATTTACCTGGGACCAGCCTGTGCCAAAATCCTGCCAATTTACTCCTCGTCCGGTTTCCTGCGCGATCCCACATGGTGCAGGAAGCCCAAAAGTGGATCCAATCCGGTGGGAAGGGTTGCCATCCGAAATCAGGTCACAGCACCCGAACCTGCTTCTCCTGTTTTACCGACACAGGCTTCCGGTATCGGGCTGATCCTATTCTTCTTCCGGCAACACGGGCTCCTGGAACTAAACCAGTTTCGTTCCTTCCATCCGATTCTTCCTAGATTCGGGCCGGATCTCTCCTTCTCCCATCCGAATCAGCTGATTCACTCGAGACCTCGCGTTCTCGGGAATTCCGGTCTCCTCGACTTCTACCACCCAATGTTCCTAGAGTCTCCACTATCACTTTCGTCCTTTCCTTTTCCGCTCACGCCGGAATCTCTCCCTCTGCTCTCTTTCCTCCCGCAGTCGCCTGGTTCACCTGCTGACTTGGTCGTAGTCTCGTCTATGTTGGGAATCCAGGACTCCAACTTCCGATGCCAGCTCGGAGCCGTTGTCTGATCGCAGCAACGCCGACGAGGACGCTGCGGAGGCGTAGGTACTCGGAATACAAACAAACTGGGAGGTGGGTTCGATCCGATGGCAGGGGTTCCTTTGAGAATCAGGTTAGACCGGCCGAACCTGCTTCTCTTTCTTCTGTTGCGGGCTTTACTCGTCCCAGCCGCCGCCAGCACCGTTGGGCCCAATCCTCTCCTCTTCTTCCGCTAACGCAGCCGGCTCCGGGAACCGGGCTAACTCCGTCTCTCTTCTTCCTCCCCATCCCGTGGTCTTCCTCGCCTCCTTCCTGGACCGGGATCCGCGTTCGGGAGCTTCCTGGTTACGTCTATTATTGCACCTGTCTATCCGTCAGCCACCAACTGGACCCCGTTTTTCTTTTTTCCTCGCTCTCCACCTGACTGCGACGTCTCTCTCGTCTCGTACCATTCCAGTTTTACCCACGACTGTGCTACTGGGGAACACCACCACCACTCGGTCGCGACGGGTTTCGTAACACCGTTGACTCTGATTTTTCCTGCGGGAGTCCCTCTCCTTCTGGACCGCGTCGTGCATACGATTAGGGGCCTGCCCTATTTTTTGACCATGTGCCGCGAGCATTGTTCATCGCTCCAGGGGGAAAGGTCTCAAGTCGGAGGATCGTTTTCGCACTTTTTCTCCACGCGAGAGACTTTTACCATCCGATAAGGAACCTCACGTTCCTCTCATCTGACGTTGCGTTTGTTAGGTCCGACATGCGACGTAAGGCAAGGCCGAAGTAAGGGAATTTTTTTCTTGAATTATATCTTACAAGGTGAAGAATCAGGAATTTTAATGCAAAGAATCTTGCAAGGGTTAAAGATCTCGGAAAAATGATTTCTCAGAAAATTTGGGGTTTGGCTGGTAAACGTTGTTTCGTAGCTATTAAGAATTATTGTTTTTATATTCTAGGCGGTCTGCTTTGGATTTTATTATAGTCGGATACTTTTTACTGAGGTATATGTAACTAGACGTACTATATGAGGGTGAATGACTTTGGTCGGACATTTTAGTTAGCCGACCGATTATCTGCTAATCCGGCGTTCACGCACGTATACGTATACGTGAAAAATAATATAAGGTGTAAAGTCATTTCGTAAAAAAAGTCCCGAAGGTGTCAATTTACTACCACACTCAATCTGTGAGTAAATCGTCGCATGGTTGTTTATCTTAGCAGACTGTTACTACGGCGAGTTTCTTATGCGTCGAGCGTTTTAAAAGTGACAGCCCACCTTTCAATGGACTTTTAATAAGCCTGGCGCGTGAAAATACGACCATGGCTGTGCACATAACCTATTCAGGGAGCCGAGATGCCTTTCCGGTTTTTCTCTTCAATTGTTACTTAAAGGCTGAGTGCCTTTCGAATATTTTAACGCCTACTATTGTCGCGCGCTCGGTAAGACTCCGGAGCTCTAATTGTCGCTAGTTATCATTTCTGAGACAGTCATTCAGTTTCTTGGTATTTGTCGTATTAAAAATAATATCACACCGATAAGCTAACAAATAGTTTCTCCGAGGAATGGTGTACGCAAGGGATTATAAAATGTAATTTCGCATGAAATGTTCTTCCTATTTAACTTTTCTCCGAAGGTTGATATAAAATAATGACCTGCAATCCACCACCGTCTCTGTAAAATGTCGGTAACTTTGATGCTTACAGTGTTAACAGTGACCCTATTGTCAGCCGTAGGAAATTAATTGGGTACCTTTAATGCGCGACGGCAGATGCAGATGTATAGATGGCTTTTGAAAAAAAAAAAAAATGGTTCTACCCCTTGCGAGTCATCGCCGCTCCCGGAATCATTTTTTGACGTTTACGAGCGTATTTGAGATCTCCCCTATCTGGATATAAATATTAATGCTAACGCGTTTCAGTACCGAAATTTTCCACATCTAATGATTCACGACGCTCAATCATGCCTACGGGCATTTTCGCAAATTTGTCATCATTTTCTTAAATGTCGCGGCGTACAATTAATAAAATTCCACATCGCTTATTATACATTATAAATGAGATCGATATTTTAATGTATATGTTTTAATTACTAATTAACGTAATAGTGAAAAGACAACCCACTGGTAAAACGTTAAGAGATAACTGGAAGGGGTTCGGCAATGGCGGACGAAGAGAACGGCTTCCTCCGCCATTGAGGACGCAGAAGAAGCGAAGACTCGTATGAATAACCTTGACTCGTTCGATCTCTGCTCCACAGGTCTCCCTCTTCTTACGTGCCATACACTCAGCAGCCTGTGATATACTGTCCCATATCTAGACCTACGATACGTAGCCATAGACGTAGGTTACACCTTCTCCCTCTGAATAAGCTTTAACGCCGCGCCGAGGACGACCGCGAAGACGACGACCTCCGCCGTCAGCGTCAGTCACGTGCACCTAGCACGTTGCCGTCCTCACCTGCCTAATTACGGAAACAAGACTCAAAGGAGACAAAAGAGAAGGAGGATGTCGAACTGTACCGACGAGACGGAGAACGCACCCCTGCCCATGCAGGAGGCCCTCTCACCGGTGAGTAAAAATTATTCCAAATAAATATTCCCTTCAAAATAAGGCGAGAATTCTTGCCAAAGAAAGTTCAGTTAAATGTGAAAAGTTATCTTACTCGATGGGGAAATAACATCTGGATTTATCTAGAAAGTTGAATTGTTAATATATGAGATGTTTCAACGGAAGGACGCCTTCGGTGAATTTTGTTAATTTTATTAAATATCGCGTGCAATCAACTTCTTGAACTTTCATCTATACTCTCGTGGGATTTTTATGTGCAGATGATAACTCATTTAAAATAATGCGTAGTTGTCGTTCATCCCTGGGTTTTTAAGACACTTGTCATGCTTCGGTAGGGGAATCGAACCGATACTTAAATCGACAAGTGGCGCACCTCGACGCGATCAGGTGGACCTTTAGAAGGGCAATTGTTCGACGAGGCCTTTGTCCGTCCTTCTCCGGTCGTACATTTTTGCGTTGAAATTCCTTTGATCTAGACTGAAGCGACGAGCCGATGAATGGCGCCGCCGCCATGAACGCAGTCCCGTACCTATACTGTTTAAAAAAATATGATTATTTTATAAGGGAATAAGGTTTAAAAATAAACTTAGGTAAACGATCGTAAAATTAAAAAACCATCCTAGTTTGCATACAATGCGTACTAAATGACTTTCGAACGTCAAATTTATCATTTTTCACAAAATTATAACGCGATGTTACAAAATCATAAATTTACCTAGAATTTCATAATAAATGTATATTAATTCACTGTTAAGACATCAAATTTATAATTTTAAATCATAAAAATCCTAAATTTACCTAGAATCTTATAATAAATGTATATTAATTCACTGTTAAGACGTCAAATTTATAATTTTACTGCAACCTTATGTACTAAAAGTGTATGAATTTTAGACATTTGTTTTGACGGTGTACCCTAACGGACCTACGACCAACCCCTCGGGGCGCTTACGTTCGAACCTAACCTCGAAACTCCGAGGATTCTTATAATAAATGTACATTAATTCACTGTTAAGACGTCAAATTTATAATTTTACTGCAACCTTATGTACTAAAAGTGTATGAATTTTAGACATTTGTTTTGACGGTTTACCCTAACGGACCTACGACCAACCCCTCGGGGCGCTTACGTTCGAACCTAACCTCGAAACTCCTCGGATCGTTCCTTGCCCCGCGACGGAACGGCCGCGACGAAACGGCCGCGCACTTACACCGAGGAATCTTAACGGCCTCCGGAAAGTTAAGGCGGGATCCTCCCGCGTCCATTACTGTCGATTGCAGCGCCTCCCCGGATACCTTACGAGATCCTAAAGGGTTACGTTCGCTCGTTAGGCCGGACGTCGTCGTTTGCTCCGCGACCATCGTCGGGGAATCCTCGCGTTAGCACATCGGCCCGGGAGATACGGATACACCGATGCTCTAAAAGTAATAGGAGCACTGGATTAAATAATCAAACCGACGGAATGCCTGGGAAATTGCGCTCGATATCAGCTCTCGACCAGAAACGTTGCTCACTCGGGGGAAATATATTTATACCAGGTGGAGTTTGCATACTTTATTTTCCACGTTCATACGATAAGGATGCTAATGCTGGACTTTTTAGATCTTCGCAGAGTAAACTGGGAAAAATCGGCTTCGCCCTTAGCGAAGGCGAGTAACAGTGCCGATATTGAACGGGGGTTTCACTTTTTTTTTTTATAAGTCCGATTATCTGAAGGGGAAATTAAATCCCGTAAAAAGTCCAGTGCTCGTTGCCGAGTCTCTCACCTGGGATTTAAAAAATCGTGGGGGGTTATATGTGGTTGTTAGACGGAACGGGGTCCTTTGCTCCGCGGCTATCTCGTGGGAATACTCGCTTTGCGTTAACGTATCGGTTAAGGAGATACATTAATGAAGATATTCATTTATTTAGGGGGCAACCAGAATGGAAAAAGAGCACTTAAGAAATTTCCTTCGATGCCAGTTCCAATTTTATTACTCTCGTTTGCATGAAAAGGATGATAACGCCGGGCATTTTTATAGCGTTAAGGTGTCCATCGAGAAAAATCCTTTTTGCCTTTGAGGGAAGGGTTCGTATAGATTGAACGTTCATCGACTGAATGTTTAAAAAAAAATTGAATCAGCTGGGTAAAAAATGTTTATCGATACTTCTCGCCAGATGCTATAAGAAACTCTTAAGGATCACGTTAGCTCGTTAGGCCTAGCGCAGCCATTTGCTCTGCAAGCATTGCGAGGGAATCCGCTCGTTGCGTTAACGTATCGGCCCGAAAGATAGGGATGTATATTTGCGATGGAAGTAAAAAGAATACCTGATTAAATAATCAGAGGTACGGAATGCCTAGGGGAATAACATCTCTGGTATCGTTACTTGGCCGGAGAAAATCGAAGGCGGTTTTGTACATCTTATTTTCGCGATTTGCACAAAAAGCTTGTTAACGGTTAACTTTTTACGGCATCGTAATGCGATGTGTAAACTTAGGAAAATCCTGTTTGGCTTTACAGGAAGTGTCGATAGCTCAAAGAGAAAATAGAATTCCCGAAGGGACTCGGTGGACGCGCGATGATTAATAATTAGATAGATAAGGAGTTTTAACGTCGCAAAATTTTGCGTAGCTCGCATTAAACTAATGGGGTGTTCTTAAATTTATTTAAACCATTCGAGCAGGACGGTTTATTACCGAGCCTTTTCCTGTGGCTTAAGAAGTTCGAAAAAGTGTCTTCTTTTTTTCTCGTCAAGAAGAACGTCGCCATTTGCTCTGCGTCCATCAAGAACGGATCCTCGGCTTCGCATCCGTGCAGATGAAATGTAGAAACGTACTAAAAGAAATATAGAAACATTTAATTAAGCAGTAGAATAAAAAGTAACGAAACACCTGCAATAACTGCATTTGATATCAGCACTCGAAAAGAGACGTCGCAGGTTTAACGATATCGGGAAAGAACCTCATGAGACTGCACAGGAAATTTATTAACACTGATGAATATCTGGTAATTAAATCGCGAAAAAAAATGCTTGTCAGGTGCATAGATCAGGAACAAATATGGGCCGTGGAACGAATTAACCGATTTTAACGTTAATAAACACGTTAAAATACTGCCGGGGTTCTAACTAGTTGACATCCCTTGAGTACAAAGTCACTTCGAGCTATAAAATCACCCGAGGAGGATTCTCTTCAATAGACCTCGCGTTCGGCCTCTATCGGGGGCTATCCACCATCCGAACAATAAGACGTAAGTGACAATCATCGCCCGTTTGTTCGAGGGAAAATTTACGTACGGAAAGTCGTAAAGTGAGAGTGGAATGCGTCTTCCGTACGGGACTGCATTGAACCTGGGGAGAAAAGTTGGACGGGCGTAAAGAAACTCATTGAAGAAGACGTTGACAAACGATACGCGGCCAGTCAATAACAGTCAGTGAAATTCCACTAAAGATGCTGGAATCCCTGAGCCACCGACAGTGGGAGAAAAAGTACTGCGCATATCAAACGAGAGACAATGGATGACAGCGATGGTAAAATATCGTGACTTAACGAGGAAACGGCACGTTGAGTGTAATTAAAGAATCAACGAATGACAATCAGAGAATCGGGATGTACGTAACGTACCTTAAAAGTCCAAAATCACGATCGTACGCGTACATGTACGCGTTAGATTTTCTAATTACAGTTCACCACTTCGTATAATTCACTCTCCTGTCAAGAAACGTCACTCTTTGGCATTTTATGAATTATATCGTTTTTATCCGATTCGTTAACGTCACGTACGTACATACCAGATTTGCAAGAAATGTCCTTCGAGTTAAGTGCCGCCAGTGAATTCCTCTGGTAGCAACAATTACAAAGATTTCTTACCAAGGGTAAAACTGCTGCTAAGTACTGATGATTGAATTTTGCAAAAAGTACTGTGCATATTAAGCGCGAGGCGATAAAACCTACCGACGGGGTGAGAAAAAAGCCGCAAGATCAATTGCCTGTAACGAGGAACGAAGTATCGAATAAGACTAGACACCATGCATCTTGAAATTCAAGATTACGGTCATATATAAGAGCGGCGTATTCAAGTCGTACTTTTCCTTTTGTCGGGACTCACTTTCAATGAATGTTGTCTACGGGTGTTGAGAATTTCCCTGTATTAATATCGTTTGATCTTTAAGAATCGCTATTTTCTCGTAACCTCCTCATCAGATTATCCAAGTATGTTGAGAAATATTTTTTTCTCCAATTTATACAATGTCAGCGGTAAAACATATTTCAGGCCACGTGGTCAAATTTCGGCCACGTGGTCAATTTTCAACTCGATTGACTCGCCAATGCCGATCAGCTGTGTGGGAGATCGGTTATCAAAGGAAACGAGAAGCGCGAGCGGTTGATTGATAAGTTGTAATAGGCATGGAATTACTGACATTGTGAGGAGTTCCTTGCAAGCCGCTCATGACACTGATTAATGTTACGAAAGGTATTTCTGCTCGGTGGATATCGCGAAGTCAAGGATGCGTCGGTGAAGTTCGGTTGCGACCTTAGTGCACCGTGACGGCGTGATTATCACTAGACGGCTTGCATCAAAATAGATTCAAATGCTTGGATCATTTCTGGCGCGAATATAATAGTTATCGAGTGACGATCCTCCAACACGAGGTCGTAAATGAATATCGGGACGCCAGTTGCCTGTCACTTAAGGTGAAGTGAAACATCCTTCAAATCAGTCGATTCGAATACAACACTTTTTTTTTAAGGGTATTAGGTCAAACTGTCCAAAACTTTGACACATCACCCCTGATCAGCTAAGAATTGTCCTGACACATTAAAAATTTGGATCTTTCAAAAAAATTTTTTTACTCAGTCCAGACCAGAACCAAAATGGCGTCGAGCTCTCATATTTTGATCAGTATACAATTATCGAAGGCTCTGATATGAGAATCGAAAGGGTCAGGACAATTTTACGAGAATTTAGAACACTCTGGTAATCGATAAACTCGCATTTGAACGGGATAAAGGCAAAAAAAGTGTTATATGCGCTTCTTTGCTAAAACGATGGGAATACGAGGTCTCGGAGTGAAAATTTAATTGACCTGGAAATCACAGATGGCGCAGGGGGTCCCTCCGCAGTCAATTAGGGCCCAGAAGGCATGAATCCAGAGGATTTCTGGAGTTTTACTTCGATTTCTTCATAATTATTGTACCAAAACGACAAGTGGAATATGCCATTTGGTACAATACACAATATAATTCGACTCGGCTGTCAATATAAAAACGAACGTCGGCAACGTAGGCATTTAGAAAAATCGACTTTATCGACGTTGATCAAGTTCCTCGACGTGTTTCACTTCACCTTAACAATTCCCACACTTCTACCATACAGTCGTCTTATTCAGACTTCTTCGGCAATAATGAATGCCAGCCACGTGTCTTACCAATACTAAGATTCATGAAAAATTGACACATTAATCAGGATGACGTACTCTCCTTAACTGCACTTTAACTACGATTTCTTGTTTCCGCTGAGTCTATAATTGTCCTTTAAGTAATCGCAAAGAAAAAAAAAAACATCAGCTCACAGAGGGTACCCTCAAAGAACGATAATTCACAGATAATAGGAAATTTCACATGCTCCAACAAACGTGCAACACTTTAAAGTGGACCAGGAAAATTTTTGTCCAGAAGTACTTTTCTTATCTCGACGACCAAGATCCGATTACTTTATTGAAGCAAGACAAATTGTATATCGCTCGTTTGTTCGAACAGTGACGATATTCTTCTGGCTGTTGCCGGAGGTTAATTCTTTTAATTTAGGAAGCGTTTTATCTAAGGGAGACCACCGATTACGGCTACGGTCGATGTAGGTGATTGCAAGGAATTTTACCCTTGGAGCAATTATTACCGCAATACCGTCGCAAATCGGGATTTCGACGGTGATGAGAATCTGTGTTATTCGCAGGGCGTTCTCCGGGTAGATCGACATTCGAACGGCTTCGCGGGTGTTATTCATACCTCGATGAGAAACGAGACGTCCGCCGACGAAACCGCTCGGAACGTCTCGAGTTACCTCGCGTCCCAGGAGGACGCCTGTCCGTCCCATCTAGAAAGTCCCCTGGGTGTCCAGAGACGTGGCGTGTATCTAGCGGTTGATCTTTTCGTATTAAAAAGAAGGACTAGCCGTTGGTTCGCGCCGGCGATTAATTATTATGAAGAACTGCCCGGCTGCCTCAGCGGCGACCGGTCGAGCCGCGAAGATATCGAAGTAATCGCCGGTGCGCGTTATTAGCATACGAAAATGTGGACGGTTGCATAATCGGCCACGACGTCGACGGGCTGCACCGTCCTCGGGACCGACTCCTCGGGATGTACTCGAGGTCCCTATCGCGCGCGATATGCCGCCATTAGAGCGATCGGAAGGCTCGAGCGACGAGGAGGGGAAAAATGTCGCTTCGCAATTCCTGGAGAACCACTTACGCCCGGGTTCGGCTCGATTAATCATAGGGTTAGGCAATGACTTATCGGTAGCTTATAATAATTCAGACCTATGGGACTTTCTTTGCAGTCGTTTTAAGGTAGGTGTGGGGTACCGTTTGCGCGAGGGGACGAGGCGCCGCCAGCGTTACGGTTCCTTACTTATCGACCGGAAAAGACGGAACCACTGGATTAGAACTTTTTCCGAAACTCGCTCCGGCCGAGTAAGCCGCGATATCGCGGTTTAACCGCCCCTTAACATTCCGATCTACATGCGGGATTTTTTGTCCTCAGGTGCAAGAGGGTCCGGTCTCCCCAGCGTCCTCGTCACTGAGCAACCAAAATCAAAACGAGAACGAGCAAGTGCTCCTGGCGACGATGCAGCCGGTTAACGTGTTGGACTTGCACGAGCCACCGACGCACTCGCTGCACCCGAAGTACCACCACCACCACCGGCACCATCACCATCACCACCATCATCATCCGCAGCACATGCAATCGGGCGATCAGGACGACCAACGTGCCCCAGACGACCAGGACGGCCGGGTGACTCCCGACTCGGCTGCGGGGGCCACCAATCTCGGGGTGGGCGAGCACAAGATGATCGACCTGATCTACAACGACGGTCAGAAGACGGTCATGTACACCCACGACAAGGAGATCATCTACGAGAGCGAGGCCGATCGGGTCCAAGTGGTGGAGTACCCACCGCCGCCACCCTCGCCTCCGTCCCCGTCGCCACCCACCGCCACCAGAAGTGGTCTTCTGCCCTCCAACTGCGTACCCCCCAGATCCTCCGGCGCCACCACGCTGCATCTCCACCACTACCCTCAACTGCAGTTGCAACACGAGGAGGACTTGCCGAGAGGCGTCGCCTGCACTACCGCCGCAGTCCCCAACGCCAACGCCACCACCACAACCACGGTCCTCGTCCTCTCGGAACTGGTGGCTGCGGATCCCGCAGCCGGTGCCGCAGCGGCCCAGCAACTCACCCTCTCCGCCGCGGCCGCTGCCGCCTCTCTACGTGCCGGGTAAGTTATCGCTTCTGGTATTCTCCTCGTATTTCCTAGGGCGGACGTGCAAGTATCCTCGCTGCAGCAGTCATTGACGTCCCACGGCGAGAGGTGCTCGGGATTAGTCCCTGAGAGATTCGAACGTGTAACTGGGAGCCTCGCGGTATCGAGGCGTCGCGATTACGATCTATGGCGTTATCGAAGGGGTATTACCGGGGTCCATCCTTACCTTCCCAGGGGCAAGGGACGCACCGATGTCCGATGAGATCGTTGGCACCCTGCAGCGAGGACGGCGCGAGATTGTTTCCAATGAGGATGAGAGGACTAATAGTTTCTCTCGTGGTCACGTTATTAAAGCTGATAAGGGGGCATCTTTAATGATTGGAATCGTGGATGCATCGAGGTCTTCGGATATGTTTTCATCCACTCTGCATGTTTCATGTAGAAGAAACAATTGAAGTGTATCTGACAGAGTGGCAATGATCTTATCAACTGGTCAAAAGAGAGACACTCGTTATCTGTATCCGGAAACGGGAAAATTTCGGCGGCTATGCCTACTATGGTTAGAGACTGCTGTTTGACAGTTGAGACAGGTGTTTATAAACAATTTGCTGAAATCAGCCGAATTTCAATTTTCCTGGCTTAGGAGGATTTAATTATAGGTTCGATCAAGAAGTACAGGGATAGTGACGCCGACTTCTTCCGGCAAGATCTTACGACTAGTAGACTGTAATTAACTCGATGTTGAGTCTTAATGGTAATGGAAATCTGCTTGGGTGGTTATTATATTATAACGCCCCCGCAAATGGAAAGCTGACAGCAGAAATTACGTACAGAATGTCAGACTGCGGATACGCGTCAAGTAAATGACAGTCAAAGGTCATGCACCTGTGAGATGTGCGAAGGGAAGAGGAGAAACGAAATGCCAACTCGAGTGATCTTATCGTTCTCATTTTTATCAGCTTACAGATACTTAAGAAATTAAACCGCGACTCTTCTCCGAGAGCTGGGTGAAATCGGCGAGCCCCTCAAATTAAATAAATCGCCCGATAAATCCTGTTCGTACATTTTCCGCCATATTGCCGTTTTATCTAAACGAGCGATTGTTATCTTGGGCGTAGCTTTTCATTGATCCCTATCGGGATGATCGATATTTAAGGTGAAGTGAAACATCCTTCAAATCAGTCGATTCGAAAACAACACTTTTTTTAAGGGTATTAGGCCAAACTGTCCAAAACTTTGACACATCACTCCTGATCAGCTAAGAATTGTCCTGACACATTCAAAATTTGGATCTTTCAAAGAAATTTTTTAACTCAGTCCAGACCAGAACCAAAATGGCGTCGAGCTCTCATATTTTGATCAATATACAATTATCGAAGGCTCTGATATGAGAATCGAAAGGGTCAGGACAATTTTACGACAATTTAGAACACTCTGGTAATCGATAAACTCGCATTTGAACGGGATAAAGGCAAAAAAAGTGTTGTATGCGCTTCTATGCTAAAACGATGGGAATACGAGGTCGCGGAGTGAAAATTTAATTGACCTGGAAATCACAGATGGCGCAGGGGGTCCCTCCGCAGTCAATTAGGGCCCAGAAGGCATGAATGCAGAGGATTTCTGGAGTTTTACTTTGATTTCTTCATAATTATTGTACCAAAACGACAGGTGGAATATGCCATTTGGTACAATACACAATATAATTCGACACAGCTGTAAATATAAAAACGAACGTCGGCAACGTAGGCATTTAGAAAAATCGTCTTTATCGACGTTGATCAAGTTCCTCGACGTGTTTCACTTCACCTTAAATCGGTTATAATTTTCTCCGCAAATGACGCGCCCTCGATTAATCGTTCGGCCCCCTCTTGGAAATTAAAGTGTCAAAGTGACATGTGTATCTCTGCTAGTCCCAGTGCGCCGCTTTAGAGCGGCTTTCTTCTCGACTAAATGGACCTCTAACTCTCGCTGGTATACGGAGCAAGTGCACTCGACAAGTGTATGTTTCAGCGCGCGGCCGCGAGAGCGCGCGCGGTCCCATGTCGGCGCTCGACAATTATCGTACTCGTAACCGCGCGAGTAAGTCACGTCGACCGAGGGAGACAGAATCGCGGAAAGAGACGGAACGATGGAAAGAGACGGGGCGAAGGAAAGAGACGGGGCGAAGGAAAGAGACGGAGCGACGAAAAGAGACGCGGCGCCGCAGAAACGGAAAGAGACGGAAGCCCAGCCCGATGGGGAAAGACGGGGAAAGAGAGAGAAATTATGATTACGATGCCTCCCCGCGTTATCGTATCGCATCGTACTTATGTACCTACCAGCGAGCGATAGTGCTCGAGCGCGCGCGATATGCCTGTATAAATATTGCAAACCAATAACCATTAACCACTCGCGCCTCGCTCGGCGCGCCACCTTGCTCTTTTGCAATAAATTAAAAATCCCCGGCAATTAATCGGCCGTAAGATATGCGCGCCGAGTCCTTGAAGCCTTCGAAAACAACTGCATTCGCGTGCCTCGCCGGTGATTGTTACATAAATCGGGAGTCCCGGCCGCCATCTTGGTCCCGACCGCTGCGCGTCGTTTCGGAGCCGTTCTTCTTCGTTCATCGTGAATCCTACTCCAATTTTTTTCTCTATCCCATTAAGTTTGAACGCGATTCTCGAATCTTCGATTAACCTCCGAATACTGTCCTTTAAATGGACGAAAAGTTATTTCCCAAGATTTTCATTTATAAAACAGTAGTCGAAAGTGAACATTCTCCTGCTATCACGTATAGTCTACAGAGCATTATCTCTCAATTATTCGGGAATTCCTTTCGGTTTCTATTCGCTATCCCATTTCGATGACCTTCAGAAGAACACTAAGAGCGCATTCTCGAGGAGGGCGGGTCGCCCTTTTTAAAACCTCGAATGAGAGAAGGACACGGACACTCGGGGTGGGCGCGGCGAGGGGCGAAAAAAGAAGGCAAACGAGAACGAAGCTTGGAAGGAAAGAAAAAAAAAAGAAGAGAATTCGCGCTCCCTTTCACTCGTGTAAATACAGCCATCGATCACGCTTGGCCGCGACGTGGAAAAGAAATAAGACGGAAAGGAAGCCGGGAGAGGCGGAGAAAAAGGAAGAAAGAAGGAAGGAACGAACGGAGACGGGGCCTCGGGACCTCTGTCATGGCGGCCGTCCTGGATCCACCGATGGGACTTTTCGCTCGGTTTCTACCGAACTTTGGGAATCATCAACCACGCCATTATGGGATCGGGACTAATCGCGTGCGCCGTAAGGAAACGGTAGGGCCGGGCACCGTAAAAGAAGGGGAAATAAACACCTCATGGCCGAGTGTAAGGCGCAGTCGAGCCTTGTTTACATGGACGGATCTCCGTATCGCTGTAAATGGCCGATGAAAAAGTTCCAGTTGATGTAGGTACCTGTTAAGTGAATAGAGAATTAACTATCCGGGGCGGCTAGGAATGCATTGTTCTAGATTTTCGGCCAGGGAGATTATATTTGGTTTCGCCTTTCTTATGCTCTACCTTACCTTGTGGGCTGACAGGCAAGGAAGATCAATGAGATTACCGTGGAAGGGTGCCGAGTTGGGAGAAACGTTGAAGCTGAGATAGCATAGGTGGATGTCGAAATGAAGAGGTGAAAACCACTCTGTACCATTTGAAATGCTTCTTTCTATGAATTGCCTACATCTGCGAAAGTCTAATTTAATTTCAGGCCTATCTACATTTATCTGCGCAACCATAGGAAATGATTGACCAATTACACGATATAACTTCACCAAGTGACGTGATTCGTTTAAACCGTCTTCGGTAAATCTATCCCGAGGAGGTCGTTGACTAGGATTCCGTAAACGATCATCCTCCTAGATAGTACGGACCATAGAGGAAGGAGATTAATCCTGTCAATTTGACGGGCGATCGTCCACGTCGTCCAGGAACGTTTCTCCCCTCTCGAGAGACGGCATCTTTTGCTCGTTGGACGCCTCCTCGAGTAAAAAGGAAGAAAAGGAAACCACAACGACGACGCGAACGAAAATCAATGAATTTCAGATCGGTCCGTTCATTCCCCTAGATCGAGTAAATACACTAGATCCAATTGTAAGCGCGGTCGGCAATTTCCTCCGCCATCCGTAGCATACCTTTGCGATGGGCTCGGTTTAATGCGTTTTCTGATATTTATTACGATCGCGGTAAGACTCGTTATCCGCGCGCATAAAAAGTCCCGGCTCTTTCTATCTGGCGCGGGAGCACAAACAGGATTACTGTCATTATAACTCATCTCCCTCGAAAAAGTGCCGGTAAATCTTTATCATGGAAGTCATTGATTAGGGCCCCGCCAAGGACCCTCATCAGGGATGATAGAGAGAGCGGTGGTTAATGCTGTCAAGTTGACAGACGGGTGCGTTTAGGTCCACATTTTTAGGTGGCATCGAGACCCGATCGCCTCCACCGGAGGACGTGGCGTGCCTTGGCATGGCAACCGCGTTAATGACGCCGGACAGTGTCTTTCCGAGGGGTGACGTCACGCCACGCGATTGCTTTTCGTGGATTATTTATTGGACGGATCTCCCTCGAACATTCCTACATTTATAACCTACGTTACGATCGGCGTTGGTGTGCGAATGGGCTACGCCTTATTAGCGTACGAGCGAGCGCGCGCTATAAAGTATCGCGCCGTATCCGCCCGAGAGTCTCCAGAGACGACGCCGATGACAAAAAGAAGCCGACAAGCCGGACGTGCTAAATTCCCACTTCCTAGCACCCGGATCAGCAAACAAAAATCCCAGGGCCTAGGATTATCAAGGTGTTACGTTCTTCCGACGTGCGTGAAAAAAATGTACACTAGGTACCCAAGGGAAAAAATCTTCGGGCACTGTTACTAGTCACTATTCTAACGTATCCATTTCTGTCAAGAAGTATCGATTGAAAGATATGTGCCCATAATTATGAAAGTGGTCTAAGTCAAAATTAAAAAAAAAAATGAGTTTATCAGTTATTTCACGGCATATTATTTCAAACG